ATGAGCAAGGATTCCTCAGGTACACAAAGGTCACCGAGCGCAGGACACCTCCGCTTCTGCCCCAGAGACGAGCTGGCTCCCCGGTCGCCCCGGACGCCTCCGCTTATGCCCCAGAGACGAACTGGCTCCCCGGTCGCCCCGGACGCCTCCGCTTCTGCCCCAGAGACGAACTGGCTCCCCGGTCGCCCCGGACGCCTCCGCTTCTGCCAGAGACGAACTGGCTCCCCGGTCGCCCCGGACGCCTCCGCTTCTGCCCCAGAGACGAACTGGCTCCCCGGTCGCCCCGGACGCCTCCGCTTCTGCCCCAGAGACGAAACTGGCTCCCGGCGCCCCGGACGCCTCCGCTTCTGCCCCAGAGACGAACTGGCTCCGGTCGCCCCGGACGCCTCCGCTTCTGCCCCAGAGACGAACTGGCTCCGGGCCTCCGCTTATGCTGCACGCCTCCGCTTCTGCCCCAGAGACGCTGGCTCCCCGCGCCTCCGCTTATGCCCCAGAGACGAACTGGCTCCCCGGTCGCCCCGGACGCCTCCGCTTATGCCCCAGAGACGAACTGGCTCCCCGGACGCCTCCGCTTATGCCCCAGAGACGAACTGGCTCCCCGGTCGCCGGGACGCCTCCGCTTATGCCCCAGAGACGAACTGGCTCCCACGCCTCCGCTTATGCCCCAGAGACGAACTGGCTCCCGGTCGCCCGGACGCCTCCGCTTCTGCCCCAGAGACGAACTGGCTCCCCGGTCGCCCGGACGCCTCCGCTTCTGCCCCAGAGACGAACTGGCTCCCCGGTCGCCCCGGACGCCTCCGCTTCTGCCCCAGAGACGAACTGGCTCCCCGGTCGCCCCGGACGCCTCCGTTTATGCCCCAGAGACGAGCTGGCTCCCCGGTCGCCCCGGACGCCTCCGCTTCTGCCCCAGAGACGAACTGGCTCCCCGGTCGCCCCGGACGCCTCCGCTTCTGCCCCAGAGACGAGCTGGCTCCCCGGACGCCTCCGCTGCCCCAGAGACGACTGGCTCCCGACGCCTCCGCTTATGCCCCAGAGACGAACTGGCTCCCCGGTCGCCCCGACGCCTCCGCTTCTGCCCCAGAGACGAGCTGGTCCCCGGACGCCTCCGCTTTGCCCCAGAGAGAACTGGCTCCCCGGTCGCCCCGGACGCCTCCGCTTCTGCCCCAGAGACGAACTGGCTCCCCGGTCGCCCCGGACGCCTCCGCGCCCAGAGACGACTGGCTCCCCGGTCGCCCGGACGCCTCCGCTTCTGCCCCAGAGACGAACTGGCTCCCCGTCGCCCGGACGCCTCCGCTATGCCCCAGACGAACTGGCTCCCGGTCGCCCCGACGACACCGCGCTGAGTGCCCCGGGGTCGTGCGACGGGGACCAGGGGCGGCGGCGTCACGAGGCAGACCGGGGTTGACAACTGTGCTTTGGTAATCATACTCACTCTCGCACGGGCGCTCATTAACTGTGCATCCGGGGCCGGTACATACCTGTGAAACAAGAAAAAAAAAATATAATCTAGATTCATAGAAAAGCGGTTCAATTTATAGTTCATGAGGGCGCATAATTATAACATGTACACACACATACATATCTATATACATATGCACACAAACATACACATACTTATTTACATACATAGGTAGATATAGATAGATAGAATACTCCATATCTATCTATATATATATATCATATATAAATATTATATATATATACATATATATGTGTGTGTGTGTGTGTGTGTGTGTGTGTGTGTGTGTGTGTGTGTGTGTGTGTGTGTGTGTGTGTGTGTGTGTGTGTGTGTGTGTGTGTGTGCGTGTGTATACATGTATTGTGTGTACGTTATGCATGTGTTATCATCTGTGGATTCATGCTCGCGGCCCTGCTTGGTTCTGCGCGTCGGCGCATGTGCTTCCAGCGGACACGACTCGCAGCCATGGGGTCGGAACGCACGCACTGCTTAAGCAATCTCTTGTGTTTCCATTATGTAAACTAGCCTCGTAAAGACGTCGGCGAACTAAGCCTCGACTGCCAATGGCACCGTTCTAATCAGCGCGGCTTCAACTTTTATTTCAATTTGAATTATTAAAATATACTTGGTATGCGATGCAGTACGGGCAAGAGCTCATTACAGGCAGTTACACCAGATAAGACTAATGTAATTAGCGAGTTCTTTGACCCTGTCTTTGCGCAGCTGGCCACGGCTCTGCCTCATGTCATGCCTCATGAGCATCTAGCTCACTCAACAAGCAACGGATAATCTGCCAGCTGATTGATTCGCTTGATAGCGCGAAAATAATTAAGATCTGGCACGTTATAGCCTGAGATAGTAAGTGTAACGGTGGAGGAAGTAGGTTGCCCGGCAAGTAGTGCAGCGCTGCGAACCGACCGACGCTGACCTGTTCTAAGCGCAGCTGCAGGGCCACGCGGCCGTCGTGACAGTCGAGGCAGAAGCATCACTGGTTACAAGGGTCTGCTTGGCTGCTCTACGTCAGACGCTTAAACGTAGAAAATGCTAAGCATACAAAACATTATCCTAAAACCTGCAATGTGATACAAAGTATTCGCGTTCGATCAAATATGGTTCGTACAACAGCATAGCGTCGTAGAAAAAACGGAAGACACGTTTCTTCTTCACAAAGCCGATATCAAACAGCATTACTCCGGGCAGCATACAGCACCCGCCCGCCTTCCCGCGCAACCACATGCTCGTCATAACAGCAGACAGCGCCTCCGGCCTCGCTCTTGACCTCTTAGGAAAAGCAGGTTCTTTTTTCCTTCGTTTACAGATTACAGATTTCAACGGTGCTTGCATGCCTCTTGCACCTGGAGCACCGCGAGAAAGTAGCTGAACCACAGAAAGGCTCGCAGTACCGGTCTATATATATATATATATATATATATATATATATATATATATATATATATATATATATATATATATATATATATATATCGCAGTATCTATATATATATATATATATATTATATATATATATATATATATATATATATATATATATATATATATATATTCACGAGCTCAATCATGCTACGATTTCTTAGAAAATTATTTCGGTAAAGTAAAATCTTGTCACTACAGTGGATGTTTGTATAAAAATGTTCTTACCTACGGTGATTGTATGGAAGCATTCCATTTCTAAAACGCGAATTAAAAACAAGAATGTCTCTCCGTGAGAAAATTCGGTTTAGTCCCTTAAAACGAAGAAAATCCCGGAGATCTGTGGCACTCTAATATAATAACAAGGTTCTGGAAGTAATTTACATTTTGCCAGCTCCTTTACGTGGCCAGGGCGTACCCTTATAAGGATTCCAGATACCTTCGTAGAGGTGACTCTAGTAACTCCAGAAGGATTCGCAGACGCCTCACATAAGACACGTCGAGGCGACTGCGGCGTCTCCACTGGATTCGGAGATTTAATCCTCATCTAGTTTCATACACAGCTTTACGTCAGTTTCACATGACATGCCGCCTGTATACAACGGTGTCACCTCCAGCCGACATGCGCCTCACCAATCACCGCCCCAACTGTCATTAGGCACGGCATTGCCATTCCATGACTCGAGTCACAGATAACTGTTGTAGTTATACAACGAAGGAATGCCGCCACTTGTGTACAGCGCAGATGGACTTTCGGTTATTTAGAGCTGTCCCACTGAATAACCAGGTGAGGGTCAGGGATCCAGCGAGGGCGGAGGCAGACTGCCAGGTGACCCCCGGCCTTGGCGTGCAGCCGAAGGTGACCCCGCAACCTTCCACAGGAAAACTGATAGCCTAAGGTGTAGCCAGGCTCCTGAAGCGGTGTAGGGGAAGGGGGGGGGGGTACGGTGCTGGAGTAAATGAAACACATTTACTCACAGCACTCGAAGGCAGCCACGAAGATAAGTGAACAGCTGATAAACAGTACTGATTAAACTTTTCTTTAAGAGATCTGATCATGTGACTACCAGAATAGCCATGAAGAATGTGCGTAATTAACAAGCGCAAGTGAAATCCGCAGTGCATGCCGTGCTTTACTGCCTGCACCTCAAGGATGAAACATGAGAGAATATATAAATCTTAGATAAATCACTAAACTATACATTCAAAAATGCACCATTCTATCAGTAAAACACTCATATACGATCATTTCAAGAAAAATGCCTCCCTAGTATATACAAAATCATAAAAGTACTCCGAAATAGTAGGATGTAGACAATCGTAGCTAGCCCTGCCTTGATGAATTAAACAGCCAATGATGATTGCGCGCGCATGAATTTAATGCGGTGTCAAGATGTGGTGTTTTCTGCCAAGGAAGAGCTTTCCAGCGCCAGGGACAGGATGTGGCTGCATGCCCGACAGCTGAGAGGCGCGGCGCTCGAAGGGACATTCCAAATTAAGGTCTGGAGATGATGCTACGCCCCGCACAGACGCCGCTCTGGGTCACACGCTCACCAGGATTTGCTAGGCGCCTCGCTTCGCCTCCGACCATAGCAAGGGCGAAAGGCCACAGGCAGCGAGGGTTGATGCATGCAGGAGGATGAATCAGCGCGTAGAGGAGGAGGCCGCGGAAATGGCTACATTCCGGGAGTGTGTTTGGCGGTGCTGCGCCTCTGGGCTACGGCGAAACTCGGGGAGAGGGACACAGCCGATAATAACAAACAGACGATTGCTGATGGATGACTCAATGTACTTTTTTTCAAATAAATCGATGCAGATTCATACGCGTTTACATCTGCATAACAAACAATCCAGTTAAACATTCCAATTATAACCAAAACGCAAGGCGAATTGATGATCAGCCGAGCTGTTTCTGAGGATTCTTAGAAGACTGGTCCTGAGGGAGGCGGAGACGGCCGTGGTGAATGTAAGGGCGGGACGGAGGTGGTTTCAACGGGAATGTGTGAATAAGGTGGATAGGCGGGGATAAGGCGGCTATGAAAGGGTGGATTGTCTGGCGAATGAGAGAGATCAAGGAGGCGGAGGGGTCAAAGGTGATTTCTTGTCGTGAGGGTTACATGGTACGCTGGATCTCGGCCACCGTTCGGCGACCTCCTGATCTGGTTGCTATCATGTGGTGGCGAGGACGTGGACGTCTCATCTGCAGCTGTTACCTGTCCTCAAGCCTTCAAAAATATTAGAATAGCTAGTCCGTCCATAAGGAGGGGACTGATTGTGAGAAGAGCCTGAGCTAGGACCGCGGATTACCACCGTGCTTACTTCTAGTCTATATAAGCATACCAAAAAGCTGGTCTGTTCTTCTACACGCCGGACGGGCCAGTCCCCACGTACGAAGCCTTAGCTATAATAGCAGTGTCAAGAAAAGCGATCAAGCGTCGGACGTGGATAAATGACTGCAATATTTGGAATCAGTGCCTGCGTGGCGNACTTCACAACGGCCCCACCTAAAACACCCCCAAAAATCAAACACTAAAAATCCCTCTATCCCCTATTTCACAACGCAAACTCAACACCGGCAACTAAAGACCACCGCAAATCAACTTATCCCTCTATCCCCTTATTTTCCACCACGCAGAACTAAAACAACCCAATCACCCCTATCCTCTATCCCCTAACATTTCACACGGGCAACTCACAACGCACTAAACACCCAATCCCACTATCCTCCTCTTATCCCCCTATTTTCCACACGCAACTCACAACCGCAACTAAACACCCAATCACACTATCCTCTAATCCCGCTATTTCACACGCACTAAACAACCCAATCACACTATCGCTCTATCCCACTATTTCAACTACGCAACTACACGCACTAAAACACCCATCACACACTATCCTCTATCCCCTATTTCACACGCAACTCACACGCACTAAACACCAATCACACGCTATCCTCTATCCCCTATTCACACGCAACTCGCACGCAATAAACAACCCAATCACACTACCCTCACACCCATTCCACACACACATTTAACAAACACCCCTTTTCACACTTCCCAATCCGTCAGCACTTTTTCGACACTTGCAATCACACTAACCGAAGTAATATCTTTGATGGATAAAGACCATTTTGTCGAATCAGCTGACCTTCGGGGCTGACCGAATGGGTCCTCATAAACTGTGTATTGGGGCCGAAGATAGAGGTCAGAACATGGGGAAACAAAGAATGGGGGGGGGGGGGAAGAAGGGAGGAGAGAAGAAGGGGGAGAAAGAGAGGAGGAGAAAGGGGGTAGAAGGGAAGGAGAAAGTAGGGGGAGGGGAGGGGTGGAATGGCAAGTGTAGTAGGAGGAGGGAAGGAAGGGAGAGGGGGAGGAAAAAGAGAGAGGGGGGAGAAAGGAGGAAGAAGGGAGGAGAGAAGAAGGGGGAAGGGGGGAGTGAATGGTAGGTGTGGTAGTAGGAGGGGAGGGAGAAGGGGGTGGGGAGAAAGAGAGGGGGGGGGAGAAAGGAGGAAGAAGGGAGGAGAAAAGAAGGGGAAGGGGAGGAGATTGAATGGTAGGTGTGGTAGGAGGAGGGAAGGAGGGAGAAGGGGAGGAGAGAAGAGAGAGGGGGAGAATGGGGGAATTAATGAGGAAAGAAGGGGAGGAGGTGGAATGGCAGGAGGAGGGGAAGGGAGGGAGAAGGGAGAGAAAGAAAGAGAGAGGGAGAAAAGGGGGAAGTAATGAGGAAAACAAGCCGGGGGAGAGGGGAAAGGAAAGAAAGAGGGGGAGTAGGGAAAAGGGGGATGGTGGAAAGGTAGGAATGAGGAAAGAAAGATGGAGGGGGGGGGGAGGAAATGGGAATGGAGGAAGAATAAAAGAGAAGATGAAATTTGAGAAAGAGAAAAGCGAAAGAGAAAAAGGGAGAAAATAAAGGAGAGGAAGAGTAAAAAGAAGGAGAAAGAAAAGAAGAGAGGAAGAAGAGAAAACCAAAAGGAGGAAATGACAAAACAAAGGCAAGAAAGAGAAAAGACGGATACGAACAGAGAGAAGAGAGGGGAAGGGAAGGGCGGAAGAGAGAATGGAGGAGAGGGAGGAGAGACAAGGGGGGGGGGGGAGGAGGAGAGAGGAGGAAGAGAAGAGGCTGAGGATAATCGCAGCGGGAGGTAAATGAAGCGAGAAAGTAATAAGAAGGCCATCGAGAAGAATGAGAAAAAGGGGGGGATAAGAAAACCTGATAACGAGGAAGAGGAGGAAAGAAAAAAAAAAAAAAAACAGAACGCGATAAAATATACATTAATCGAAACTCGGAAATAAATCCATTAATCTTCACACACGGAAAACATAACCAACACAAATGGAACGATAATTACACGA